TGTAAGTTAAGGACATTCGAGGGTGCTACTTTAAGGTCGTGCACGAAAGCCATGTAATGTATCATCAGTTCCATCCTGCATTGCGACTAGCTCCTTGTTCCAGCATCTTGCAGTAGAAATGTAACACTATGCGACGTCTAGAGTAGGACAGCTTGTCAGTGAGCTTCAAATTAACACATACGTATTTCACCAAAGCCAAGTTTTCTAGACCTTAGAATCTACAAAGGTTTAGACCAAAGTTCAAAGATGATATTATTATGCGGCTTCTCCTGTGCCTAAGCTTCCAGATAAACTTTAAGTTCCCACATTCCAAAGATGTTTTTTTCTACCTTTTGCTGCTTCTGCCAGGTGGAGGTTGGAACAAAGGCGGACATGTGGGCACTCGGAGTCGTCACTTGGGACTGCTACGCACGGACTCATCGATCATTGTTCGTTCCCGACCCGAAGTTCCTTGTCAAGGACACCCAGAATTTGGAGCAAGCACTGGGTCGTTTCCACGCGGTTTGGACAGAGAGAGCGTTGGACATGCAACTCTCTGAGGACGACATTGCTGGGCCCATCTTTCGAAGGACCTTTCGACTCGAAAAGGACAGATACAGTGCACCGGACTTGTACAGAGATCTGCAGGGGTCCATGTCCAAGACACTCCGGACACTGGAGGAGGATTGATTTTCCTGGCAGTTAGTTGCTTTTTCCCCGGAGGACACAGATAGCACGACTAACCAAAGTCTTACTTAGAGATGTGTCGTAATTTAGGACTGGGTCTATAATGACAGCTTGCTTTCTAAGAATAACTAACGTGGGTACCAGGACCTTTGGATGCTATGGTCTATGCAAGTAGACACTCGCAGGTCGACTCTTCCAGACAGGTCTTGTGCGGACAAAACATGAGTTGCTGCTGGACGAAGTTCCCTGCCATGTCGCATGCTTCTGCTGCTGGCACCTGTAGCTAGAATAGTGACATGCTTCTGTACTGTTCGAAAGAAGACAGCAAGTATATTAAGCTTTTCAAAGCGAAAACACAAGTAGACTAGACATGTTTAAACAGCAGCCAGACACTGTCGGCCTTGAAGCCTGACAATTTCATTGAGTGAAGACAGAGAGACAGCATGCGAGACTGCTACTACAGATTCTTCCCGGAGTACGAAATCAATCTAGTAAAGTCACTTGCTTTTCCGGACAGGCCGCCATGCTACTGCGACGATGCTGCAGACACTGAAGTTGGCCGAGGACTTTCCCATGCATGAGAAGTCGGAGTTCACATAGAGTTTGTTAAGTATTTTCGGATATGTGGTGGACCCTGCAAGAAGAGTCTTGTCGTAACAGGGTGAGAAACGTTTTGTCTGCAGGTTGTCAGTGCCACACTCCAAGTTCTTTGCTGTCTCAGTTGATTCGTCATTGCATGCTTCAGACAGACAGATCGACATCATGTTAGACAGCCTGCTGTGTTCCATGCTTCCTATGTGCTCAAGAGAGCCGACCATCCAGTTGAACATGTCGTCAAGGTAGACTGCAACAAGTTGCAGGAGCACCCGCACTCGCAGATTTGCAAAACCAGCATAGAATTCTAATGTTGTCAATTCATACTATTTCAGTTTACTTTACACATAGGACAACACCCATGGCTCTCCGCAGAGCACTTCAGTTCCGAGCAGAGGACCTACCCACCCCGGACAGACCTCCAAGGAGACCTTTGGACAATGACAGGGTCGCCATCCCAGAAGTCGAAGTACACACACCGGAATACTCTTTGGACACCTACGAACGCAATATTCCCCCTTCTGCCACTCGCACAAAGGACTTGTTCAGGCTTTGGTCTCGCAGACTGCAGCCTCTGGACGTTGTTTACCTGAAGGAGATGCTCGTGGAGTCCAGACCTCTCGATGGACGGTACGGTTCCATTTGTAGTGGAATGGACATTGGCGCGACGGTCATGAAGCAGTTTTGGGACTGGGCTCGCTTCCATTGGGAAATCGACAGTGCAAGGTTCAAGCACACATTTGCATGCGAGCAGAACCCCATGAAGCGCGAGTTCCTCCTTCGGACACATCCGGACATTCAACACATGTTCAAAGACGCCACAGACTTGCAGCACGACTCGGTGTACGACACAAAGTACCACAGAGAGATCATGATGCCACTGTGCACAGTCCTGACAGCAGGCTTCCCCTGTCAGGACTGCTCGGTGCTGAATCCATCCGCTTCCTCGTCGAGCAATAGATCCTGCGTGGCCACAGGAAGTCTTCGTACCGGCTCTGTGCTGCAGGCCATTGTTCAGTACCTCAAAAACCAGGGACGTGCAGGACCAACGTTTTGTTTCTTTGAAAATGTCCTTGGACTCAAGCACAGCTCGACGGATGCCGACGGACACAAAACGTCCAACCTGGACCACCTCGGACACCTGGTGGACAAGGAAACCGATCGACTTCTACATGTCTGGCATTTGGACCCACGCATGTTCGGAATTCCGCAAAGTCGCCCGAGGCTCTGGATGACAGCCATCCCTCGCAGGATGTTCACAGGACTCATTCCAGAACCCGAAGTTCACAAACTCCTCAACAGCATCATGAACACCCTGCTGGGCTTGAAGGAAAACCCTTTGTGCGACTACTTGGTGAAGCCAAGGCAAGATTTGCATGGAAAGACTTTGCTCGGATGGATGATAACAATATGTTTCACTGAAGCCTTAGCATTTCAAGTGTTGGTGTTACCGATTCACACTTCTGTCTCCACTAAAGGAAGTACCTTTCTAGACAGCTTCTAGAGCAGGTGTCATCCAGCCACACATTTCTGACTAGGTTTTGCATGTATCTTTTGCTGCTCCTGCAATATCAGATCTGCATTCGCATTGTCTACTTCAGTTGTCTGTCACTTTCCCCATGAGTGCAGAAGCATTGGTCCTGTTGTCATATACACAGTTAGGCTTCCCCTTATTCCTTTCATGCACGACTTCCTGCAACAGACAAGTACAAGACAGATGAAGCAAGTACCCTGCTAAAGTAGGATCCCATCTCACCAACAATACCTCGAGTGTGCCTTTTGCAGGTCCAGCTGCCTCAAGGACTTTCACTCCGAGTTCGTTCGAAAGCTGCAGGTCATCCGAACTCGCCGTGCTCGTCGTCGTGCACAAGAACAAGCCAGAGACTCGGAGGACATGCAGAACACGAACAACGACCCTGAAGGACAACAGAGGCGTCAATCCTTGGGAGGCTCTTCGTACCGCTCCAGTCGTGCAGGCAGTGGACACTTCAGCCGATGTTCCTCGGCCACACGGCTGCTTGCACACGAGAAGGTCGTCACGAAGGACTGGCTGAAGACTTTCCGCCGGGCAGCTCGGACAAGGCCGTACTTGAAGTGCATGACCGCCCGGAAACGGAGGACTTTGTTCAAGCTCGGAGTGCACCAGTTCCCCAGCGGACACTTGAAGGTCGTGGACATCTCTCAGGACAAGTTTGCCCACGCTACGGACCACTCGCCGTGCATCACTCCGAAGGGCGAACGGTACTTGACGTCGGAGTGCAGGTACATGGTGCCACTGGAGTCCCTGCGCCTGCAGGGCAAGTGGTTCTCCCCGGACGATCCAGCGCTGGCCGAAGTGCCACAGACCCTCGTTGCAGATCTCGCCGGAAACGCCTTCGAGGCAAGCTGCTTCGCCGCGACGTTCTGGGCCACCATGGTCTTCCACGGACGTCTGCGGATGTTGCAGAGGCCTCCGGGTATCCCGCCGGAGCCACACAGTTCAGCCACCGGACAAGACAGGCAGTACCATACACCAGAGTTCGACTCCCAGGTCCTCCTCGAGTACAGCGACATGGAGGACGAGCAACATTGATCAGTGACACACAGGAGAATGATTCAGTGGACTGCTCGGCGGACTTCTCATGCTCGGCTCTCGAACCTGGACTGGATCGATCTTTTTTGGTGACCCTGCGGGCATAAAAAGGTTTTGAAGAGTCTAGTGCCCATGGAGTGGTTTTCATCCTTTTATGTTTAGAACATTGGAGTCCCTTCAACACACCTTTGCCAAAGCATTGCAAGCAGGTTTCAACTTGAGGAAAGCTTCAACTCGTAGAGATGGCCCCAAGCTTGGACCTCTCAGACTCTTTCAAGTGAACAAGGTTGTGCCTAGTACTCGTGGCCCATGGGACCAGTACATTTACATGCTTCATTCATGAGCAAAGGCAAGCACTAGGAGCACCCTTCCAAGTCCTGCAAAGCATTGTTGGCCTCAACAAACCCAGACAAAGTTATATTTTCTAAGGGCAACACACATGTACAGACACAGGTTGCATGTGCTTTAGGCTAAGCCCACACATTAGGTCTGGCTAGCCACTTCGCCCAATGACTGATAGCACAGTCCTGGTGCCAGCATTTTAGAATTATTCCCAGCATCAGCCGTTTCTCCAGGACCCAGTGGCCACGGACATCACGAACTCAGAGTTCAACCTGCCTCAAAGACACGGCTGGACTTTGGAACACAAAACACTAAACCCGAAACCCTAAACCCCAAACCCTAAACCCTAAACCTTAAAGTCGAGACCCTAAACCCTAAAGCCTGAACCCTGAACCCTGACACTAGAACCCTATAAACCCCTAACCTTGAACCCTTTACCTTTAACCCTAAACCCTACACCCCAAAACCCTAGACCCCAAACACAAACCCTAAACCTTAAACCCCGATTAGGTTTGGCTCTCTAATGTGACAATAGAGACGGACATGTGCTCCGCAAACTTGCTGTGGTCGGTCCAAAGACAGGCTTCGTCATTTTGCAAGCAATCAGTTGGC